CAGAAGATCTTCAAGATCGTGCTCGCCAAGGCGTTCGACCTCAAGTGCGTCATCCCCGAGATCGACGGCGTCGGCGAGCCCGTACTCATGTACGTCGACGTATGACGGACGGGCGGGTGGAGGTGGGCAGCGTGGCGGGCATGCGGTCGGGGTCCGGGTGGGCGGCGGGGTGGATTCTGGAAATGGAACTGGATTTGGAAGGAGGGCGCGGGTGGACAAGAGGGAGGGGTGGTGGGCCGTGGCGAAAAGGTGTGATTGTCGCTCTCCCCACCGATGTAACATTATTGAAATCCATTGCGCCTTCCGTTGTGACCGACCGCCGTTGATGCAGGCGCGCAAAGACGTTCCACCAAGGAGGAGGATCACCCAGGTCCTCGCTTCCACCGCCCACGATCCGCCACACCGCGCCATAGAGAAGCTGCGTCGTAAGCGCCCACTCGCCATCAGCCACCCACCTCACCTCGATGCCGTCCACCAAAATCGTCGGCTCTCCCGCTCTCCCGTTCCTCTGTACATTCCTCGCATTAACGCGTTATCTTATCCACTACATAACCACCAACACATACACATCTACACCATTCTGAGCTGACCGCAATACCCACCACTTTGCATGCCCGCCCTCCTCCCCTGCTCCTCTACCCTTCCCACCTGTTACTACGGACCCTCTACCACCGCCACCGCCCTTGCTTCCCCTACCATTTCCGCCCCTCCCCCTTAGTCCTACGTTTCCACATCCCCGCCCTCCTGGTCGGGTGGAGAGCCCCACCCCACACCCCGTGTCCGTGTCCGTATCCTTGCTGTTGTCGATTTGCTGCACGTTGATCCCCGCGTACTCTAAGTATATGTCCCTGTCGGTCTCCTCCTCTCTCACGGTCCCCTCGCTCGTCTCGTCGTCTCCGCATACCTATATAATGCAATTCCTGTCGTTGCCTATGCTTTCAAATCTCTCGCCATGTGTCTCCCCGCGGGTTCTGTGTGCGACGCGGCTGGCGGGCGGCGCAGCTGTACGGCCTGCGAGAATGTGCGTACGTTCCGTGAGGGCTGTGGGTGGTGCACGCTGACGGACGAAACGGAGGGAGATAGTCGTTCGTCTAGCACACTAGGTGGATCTATAGTACACGAACGGTGTGGACAGCACATTGAGATCGTCAACAGTCACAGACGGAAAGCAGGGGATCACGACGAGTAAGGGAAATCAAATTACTGTGAATACAAGCACCAAGAGACGAAGGAGGCAGGAGTGTGTGGTGTGGAAATATCCGTGAACGTCCGTCCGGCTCTGACGCCCAAGGTCACAGATGGAGCAGCACGACGAACGTCCTGGTGATGGGGCTGTGTGTTGAACGTGGAAGGTATCGATGCTATCTACACGCAGATTGAGCACACCTTCAGACCCAAAAGACAATAAATTACACCAGACACGCACCAGAATCCGTAATCATAACCATTAAAGTATACACATCCATCCTGCGCGCGCATCACCGCTTGCGCTTATGCCCCTCCCCCAGCGTCCCACCGACCATGACTTCGCTCGACCCTTCTCCGCTGCCCGAAGCCTCGTCACCGTACTCCTCGCCCTCGGACACCTCCATTGCCGAGCTGAGTGGTCCTGGCACGAGCACGGGCGACACGCTACCGTCTCTACCTCCGTTGACCGCCGTCCACGCCCGCGCGACCATGAGTGGCGAGGCCTCCGGGAGCGGCGGCAGCGCGATCCCGTCGGCATCTGCCATCTCGACGTCCGTATCCGCAAGCGGGTGGTGCATGAGCCGTCCACGGATCGGGCGGGGCTCAGCCTCCACCTCCGTCTCCGCTCCAGGATCCCTGTCGCGCTCGCGCTCCCTCGAGCGAGAGTGGGACTGATGGCTGTCGCCCGTCGCGGGCCTGTCCACGGCCGCAGCGGCGACTGCAGCGACGACGACCGAAACGTCCGCATCGATATCATCGTCCCCGCCAAACACGCTCCCCTCGATCTCAACCTCGACGTCCTCTTCCAGATTTGCGAACGTGCGGCAGAGCGGGCACGAGAACGCGGGGTGGTGCGTCTCGAGCAGCGGCCGGATGCACTTGAAGTGGAACGCGTGCGAGCATGGCGCGATGAACAGCGCCTGGTGGATCGTCACCGCGAACAGGCAGATGCAGCAGTCCGGGAGCGACGACCTCGGCAGCGTCTTCTTCGAGGTTGCGTTGTTCGGGAGCGAGATCGCCTTCAGCTGCTTCAGGGCGTTCGCGCTGCGGGAGACCGGTCAGCGCTGTTCGTTTTCCGCGATGACCTGCCAGTGTATCTCAAAACACCGAGCGGTGGGCTGAGAACGTGTCTAAAACCCTGCGACCATGCGCGGAAATGAACAGAAGGCACCGAGCCTTCTCCGATATGCACTGAGGCTGACAAAGTCGCCCGCATCCACAGGCAGTAGAAACACTCACTTGAACGGGTTGGCGTGCGCCTGCCATTCGCGGCCCATCTCAATCTTGATCTTCACGCACTTGTAGATGTCCTCGTTCCCGCCCTGGTAGTCCACGCCGAGCTGCAGAATGTCCCCATCGCGCAGCTCCGAGGGGCGGCTCTCCGTGTTCGCGGGCGAGAGCCGGACGTGGTTGAGGAACGTGCCCGAGCTGCTCTTCGTGTCCTTGATGAAGAACCGCCCGCCCGCCTCCGCCCAGATCTCCGCGTGCGCGCGCGACACCACCTTCGACTTGAACGCGAGCTTGTTCGACCCGAGTGCGTTCGCCGCCGCCAGTCCCAGTCCTGACCGGTCGGTGAACCGTCCGATCCGCAGCGCCGGGTCGCCCTCGCGCACGTCTCTGCAGATGGGCTCGAATCGCAGTGAGGATCTTGAGGCCAAGTGCGGGACGAGGCGGATCCGGTGCGTTGCGGCGTTGTTCGATGTGGCCGGGCGAGGGGCCACGGCTGCTCCTTGGGGCGTGGCCACGGCCCCTGCGGATCGTCGGCGGCGCAGCATCTGCGACAGACCGGCCTGAGATGAAGATGGCTGGAGGGCGGGGGCGTTTCGACGGCGTGCGCCGTCGGCGGGTGGGACGACTGGGGGCGGTGAGTCCCTGCTGGCGTCGCCTGGCGGTGAGGGGTGCGACTGCGACGTGCCGCGGGGTCGTGGGCGAAGAAAAGAGCCAAGAATCGACTGACGGGCGGCGGGTGACTCGCCACCGAGTGAGAGGGGGTCCATGTGGGGAGGGCGTGTTCGTCGTCGTCGACGAGGAGGTCAAGCTGCGAGGCGCCCGTTAGCCACTTGTGGCGTGTCTGTATTTGTCCTGCTGGAGTCGGCTGGAGCGCAGTTTCGCGCGTTTCGCAAAATTGGACTGCAAAGTAGAGCTCAGCGCGGTAAGGCAGAGGGCAGAGGGAGAGAGAAGAAGAGCAAAGGAAAGCCGCCGACGCTGCCTTCAGACGCAGTGCTTCAGCCTGGCTGGCTATCGTCCAAATCGGGCATGTGCTGTTGTCGCCCGCCAGGCACACGGCCTCGACCGCGCCGGCGGCAAGCGAGAACGGCCGCGCCGCGTGTGGCGTCGAGGAGGAGGAGGAGGAGGGTATTCCATTTAGTCACGACATCTAGACGCCTCGGCGTTTTCGATGTGTGACAGCGCTCACTAGGTACATGACTACCTCCAAACCCAACATACCCCTACTACCTAATCCTAAACTACCTAATCCGACTCCCACTATCGCATAATTACAATACTGTCCACCAGTTCAAACAAAAACACCCCGGCGTCGTGCGTTAAGCACAGCAGGATACATGGCTAAAACCTGGGAGGAAAAAATGAAAAAACCTCCAGGTGTCAGCGGTGGTTCTCCACCATACTGACATAACTCACCATGGTCCAGGTGGAACCACGTGGCAGCGCTACTGCCGTCCGCCATCATGCGGAAGGTCCAGGGGCTTCCAGGGGCATAGTAGGAGCCGGACGCGAGCAATCCGGGTATAGGCGCGTAGTGTCCTCGGTCGACGTTGCCGCCGACTTTGGAACACGGGCGTTGAGCAGGCGGCGGCGGTGATATAGTCGCACGCGGGGACCACAGTGGCCCGCTCACAATATCGCATAAGACTGGTACTGTTCCATTGTTGTGACCACCAGTAGGGGGACGGCGTCACAGCATCCAAAGACATCCGAGATGAATTGCGCGACAATGTGTTGTGTGCATTCATCCGCAATTACCGCCATAAGGAACCGATTTGGGGATGACATGGAGATCGCACGACCATGGGCCGTGAGCGCATTGTGCACTCGGCGCATGAAGTGCGCTCGCAGGGACCGAAGGATATCTGCTTGGCAGCACATTAAAACATGCGCCTCGTCCTCCACCATGTTCCGCCCTTGGCAGAAGCGACAAATTCGCCACTCCCGCGGGATCGGTGGGGACCGCCGGCGCAGTCCCTCAATTGCGAAAGGGTGATCGGAAGCAAGCAGGCGGCAGATCGCTTGTCGAAGCGCTCGGGAGTCCAACGAAAGGTACTTGCGTCGGGCAATGATACCGAGGTTGTGACTGCGGGCACTAAGCAGACGTAGACGTTCTGAGCCACGCACTTCGTTCCTCAGGTAGGAGCGTAGCGACTGCAAGACTTGTTGCGCACATTTCTTCACGGTGTCCGGTGTCAGGGCGTCTGCGATGGGGAACTTGACTGGAACTGGTAACTGTTGCAGGGCGTACTGGAGGTCACCAATCCAGGCCATATAGGCATAAGTTTGTATAAGATCCTTGTAGTGAGCACGGAGTGATCATACATAAACTCCAGTACTTACCTGCAGCTGTTTTCATACATGGGCTGCCACTCGCTCATGTAAAAGCGAGGCGCCGTCATGTATGAACGAGGCGCCGTCGGTCGTTACCTGATATGGCAGCTACCCCGGCCCCTTCGTCCCCGGCGGGGCGGTACCACTGGCGCGCGATGCGAGGCTACCCCATATGGATGCACATCGGGGTCAGCGCATCTGAGATCAGGTACGATCTCGAATCCCCTGCGCCGCCGCCCTGCCCACTGTGTGGCGTCGATTTCGGCCAATCCCGGAAGCCCGCAACGAGCCGAGCGAGCGGCGAGCGGTTTTGCCCGCTGTTTGCGACCTCCACCATCCTGCGTCGGCGGTCACTGACGCCGTTAGAGCATAGCGCATATGAACGGCCAACGGGTCAGCAAAGATCGGGCTTCGAAGTGAGTGCAAACGCACACGAGCAATGGAGCTGACTGTGGCCACAGGACGCGGCGATGCGCAGCACGACACGCGCGTTGACCGCGAGTACGCAGGGCTAATGCCTCGCGTGCAAACGCAGCCGACGGGCGGACCACGGGTACGGGCGCGAGCGCGAGCAGGCGGGCGGGCAGGCGGATACGCGCGCGCGCTGCGGGCAGTCTGACGGACAGGTAAGCGGATGGGTGAGCACCCGGATAGGTAGGAGAGTAGGCAGACGGGCAGGCGACAGCACATGCCCACCGCAAGTGCGCTGGGCAAATGCCCAGCACACAGATGCAGCCGACAAATGCAGGCGCAGGCGCGCGAGCAGATGAAGAGCAGGGGGCCGGACGGATGAGTGGGCAGGTGGACGAGCGGTGGGTGGACGGGCGGGCGGGCGGGCGATGGATGACTCGGAGAGGGCGGGCGGGCGACTCGGAGAGGGCGGGCGGGCGACTCGGAGAGGGCGGGCGGGCGAGTGGACGAGCGGCAGGTGGACAAGTGGCGGGTGGACAAGCGGCGGGTGGACAGGCGGCGGGTGGATGAGCTGTGGGTGAACGGGCGGCGGGTGGACGAGCGGGTGAGCAGACGGATGCATTGACAAGCAGACGAGCGGTTGGGTAGACGGACGAGCAGGTGAGCGGGAAACTGGGAGGGCGAACGGGCGAGAGGACAAGCGGGTGAGAGGGCGAGGGCGAGAGGGCAGGCGAGCATAGGGCGCGGACCAGCACCGCACGCACGGCGACCGCGAGCGTGCAGGGCGAATGCCTAGCACGCAAGCACGGTCACCGAATGCAAGGTGGGCGCATGAGCGAGAAGTGGGTGACCGCGAGTCGCGACGGCGGGCAGGGCCGGGGCGCACGCAGCACATAGTAGAATAAATCCATCTGTTTGCTTTGTTTAATTGAAAGACGTCGTGTTTGTGTGCAATGTCGAAAGTTCAATGAACTGTATGGCAGAATATAACCTACGTATACAATGATTGTGTTATCATCGAGTCCAGTATGTATGTATTGCGCTGCAACACCCATTACGACTCGAGACTCGGCTGAGAACCAGTACAGTACACTAGATATCTGTATTGTACACGAGAATAGTGTCCTACATCTCATCTGCTGTGGTAAATGCGACTAAACACGTATCTAATCCCCATTCCAGCTTACAATACATGCACACACGGTGCGGAAACGTCCCGATCACAAATCCAGGTATGTTGCAGGCCTAAGTAGGACCTTTAAACGCGTTCTGATTGGCTAGGAACAGCCCGAGCACATCGGGGTTACCAAATTGGTGAGACGACAAATAGACACAAACGTTGAGTTTACGGGCGCCCGCAAGGCTCGCCGCTCACGTCGCTTCTGCGTGCTACCGTAAGTCTACCATTCTGCTTTCATGCTCGACTCTGCGCAGAAGACAACAGTTGAGGTTCCTGGGACACATTCAGGGGTGAGTTTAACCAGGTAAGCTTGCCTGGCCAGTCATCTATGCACGCACTAATCTACTACCCGCCCTAGAGTCCAGACCGACGGGCTCTTGCCAACGAGTATGTCGGACGGTGTGTCGACGAGCGTGTCGAATGGCACATCGACAAGTAGGGTGAGTGTGTCGGCGGGTACAAAGGTATGTACTCGCTCTGGCAGATCCTGACGGAGGCGCATGACGGGCACAAGTGCGTCGACGAACACGTCGGGTGCCGCATCGACAAACACGTCAGGCGCCGCATCGACAAACATGCCGGGCACAGCATTGACGAACGCGTGAGCGCTGCGTGACGAGCATGAACAGCGTGTCAGCGAGCACGACCCACCCATCAACAGGAGTCGCCGCAGCATGGCAAGTGCAACTGCAAGCACTACGCGCGGCGAGCGAGCCTTTGGGCAGGGCGCACGACACATGCCACTGGGAACTAGGGACGACGAGTGAGAGGACGAACCGTGCGGGCCTATGGGCGACGGATGGGAAAGTGATGGGTGGGACGGCGATGAACATTGAACAGGCGGGCGACGACTAGGAGTAGTATGGCGTAGTCAGTGTTGCAGCCGTCTGTTCTGTAGTGCTTAGTATACTGCGTAGTGTCGATATCATGGAGATCTCTAAGGCCACTGCATTTGACCGAGCGCGATAATTTGTCAGGGCCTCGAACATACCAAAATAGGAGGGCTGTTGTGGCCCTTCATGCGCATTGCATCAAGGCTTGAAGCAGTCATTGTCATCGCAATGAACAAATCCTTAAGTGTATGTCGCGGAGTGCAACATGTGCAGCATATATGTCATGGGGCACGACATACATGTTATCCATCTGCCGGATCTAGATACAAACCATCTAGGCACGGTGCCAAAGAATCCGCTATATACGGCACAGTAAGTATTTGGCCCCAGTAAACGTCAGATCTCACTGATCGCTCGTTGCGATCACATTCGCCCGATGGGCCCGCGACAGGACCCAAAGAGGAAGAGCGCGTGACGGCGCCCATTTTGGGTAGTGCCGCCGGCGCCGCGAGCTCTCCCCGGCGCCCGGGCAGTCCATAAAGGGCAGCTGCCTTTTCGGGTAGCGAGCGGGGCGCCGGCTGCAGTGATTACTGCGCCTTCATACATGAAGGGAGATTGTAAGTACAGGGATTTATGTATGATCTGTTTGTGCTTACAACAGGTATTCATACATGAGCATGCCAGCATCTGGTGACCAATCCATGAAGCCGAACCAGTCAAAGCCATACTGCGAGACTCGGCCAGCGCGGCCAAAGGTAGTTGCGGGCGCTGCGTTACCACATAGAGGAGGTAACGCAACGCCAGCGATAGCCGGTGGTATTGTATTGGCCATAGGCCGGTTTCCGTATACAGCACCGAGGTGACTGTTCGTGGGTTAAGGCCCAGCGATCGGCGCAGGTATGTCATCTGTACCGATGCCAGGGACGTAAGCGCCGCGAGGCGTACGTCAATCGTGACCTCGCACCCCGAGATTAGGTGCGAGTCGATATGAGTGTTGTAGAGGGTGAGCGACGCCCAAGGTGGTAGGTCGGCCACGTACGACTCCACCGAGAGGCAGGCATTCACTGTCCTGCGAGCCACCGCTACTCAATGTTCGATGTGTGCCGCGAAGATGTCCCGCGCCGTAGACTGGAAGAGGATGCCCACGTATGTGTAGCGATCTACGAGAACAATCCGTACACCATTCACAGACATCTGACAGGCATGGCATTTGCGCAGGGAGAGGCCCGAAGATCATGAGCTGCGTCTTGGACACATTGATCACCGCGAAGTTGAGTGAGCACCAGCGCGCCAGGTCGTCGAGCTTGCGTTGCAGACCCTCCTGCGACATTGACCATAGCACGATATCATCTGCCTGCTCCAGATGTGACATGAGGATACCGCCAAGGTCAGTGTCATCCGGGTGGTCTGAAATGATGAGGTCAGCGAGGAACAGGATCCACAGGATAGGGGAAGCGGGGTCGCCTATGAGGATCCCTGCCGTCGCACGGAACGAGTCGGACTCATTGCCGTCCTGCCGCACCACGTAGGTCAGCCGAGCATAGAGCATCCTCAACCAGTCGAACAGAGGGCCACTGAAACCCGCGTCCTGCAGCTTCGCCCACAGTGTCGGTTGGTCCACCGAGGGGAACACATTCGATAGGTCTACGAACGCAACATACAGCGTACGGCCACTCGATCGCGCCTTCTCGATCGCAGCCCTGAGGACAAACGCGTTGTTGTTTGTACGGCAACCTGTGCGGAAGCCGTTCTGCGAGGGGGGAATCTTGGCTGTTGCCTCCGCCCACGCCCTCATGCGACGTTCAATCATCAGTGTGAGCATTTTCAGCAGGCAGCTCTCGAGTCCTACCGCCCTGTAGTTTGCTGCCTGTGCAGTGTCCTTTCCCCGCTTCGCAATTCCGGTCAGAATAGCGGTGAGCCAGGTGGTAGGCGCGTCGAGGGAGTCCACACACTCCTGGAAGAGGCAGAGCAGATCTTCGTTATCCAGCCCGAGCACACGGTCGTAAGGGATCCTATCCTCTCCCATTGCTGACCGTCGGTTATGCTTGCGGATGTGTTCTTTGGCGTCCGCGATCTCATCCAGGGTCCAGGGACGCGCGAAGAACAGCTGGTCAGGGTTCGGGGTCGTGCGTTCGGGGAGCATCTGTGACCACATGCGATTGGCTGAGTAACGCACCGCATCGAAATTGGTCGGTAGCACGACCGGGGCGTTCATCCGGGGCATAAATGCGGCGCGAAGGTCAGTCACCGATACTCTCGCCGCTCGTGGCGCTGGGTCGACAAGTCCGCGGAATGCTGTCCAGAACGCAGCGACTGGTTTTCCTGGCTCCAGGAGCTCGCGAACGAACCGCTCGCGCATTAGGCGGAGGTTATTCGCTTCCGCAGAGCGTCCCGACTCGGGCTCATCACGTACGCGCAAGGTGCGTTCCACAGTCAGCGTAGCCGCGCTCCGAGGCACCGTATGCGGTGGCAGGTCGGTATGCACCTTGCATGTTCCGTCCGCCATCTTGACGAGG